TCTATCACTCTTTGTCATTTTCTCAATTTATTATCTCATTTTTTATTTAAATAATAATATATCATGTTAATAAAGTCTATTTTTTATTAAATACTAATTTTTTTTTTTTAAAGTAAGGCTAACATTTCTCTTCTTTCTTAAAAAAAAAAAAAAAAAAAAAAAAAAAAAAAAAAAAAAAACCCCCCCCGGTTTTTTTTTCCCCCCTTTTTTTTTTCAGAAAAAAAAAAAAAAAAAAAAAAAAAAAAAAAAAAAAGAAGAAGCAGCCCCGGTTTTTTTTTCCCCCTCTTTCCTTTTCAGGAGACAATTTCATTTCACATATAACAAGTTACATACTTAAAAACAGTCGCAAATGAGAATGAGAGAAATCAACCCAACCCCAGACATTAGCTGAATCTACTACTAACGAAGACGAATGAAGCACAGGTGTTTTCGAGCTTGCATTAGTGTATGTATCAACATTACTCATACGCTGATAAACTGAGCAACGGACTATAAAATGAAAAACTATTAAGACATTGACTAGGCAACAAAATTGTTCCTCTCATTGAAGTCATTGTACACAAACGCGTCAGCAAGTTTTTATCTCTGCTCAGATGGTTAATAGAAAACGCTTCTTCTAGCCCACTCCATATATTCCTATGGTCTTACGGTCTAAGGTTACAGTTGCACCCCCATTTAAAGAGGAAAAAAAATGAAGCCATGCGTAGAACAAGAAAGAAAGTTCCAAGAAGCGAGTTTGCTTGCGGGGTAAGAACCAAGGAATTTTGGGATAGATAGAATGCCACATTTACAGAAAACCCACATACACCTTTTTGTGCAAGCGGCAACTTAAAGCATCTTACCCGAAAGAGGAACAACTGGGGAGACATTTACAGTTGCAGGAGAGTAATGGCATAAAAGCAATTTAGTTCGTTTTTGAACTACCACCTGCAACTTATACCCCAGGTACATATTATCTCTCTCTCTCTGTCAAAATCACTCTACTTAGGATCAAAAATTACGAATCATCACGAAGCAGATTCTCGGTGCCTTCCCCTTTTTCTACCACCCGTTTCGTGAGTGTCTACCACAGGAGGGGTTTCTGGTCTCTCAACTTTCCATGGCCTACCCGTTTTTCTAGAGCCTGGGGTTGTGGACGTTTGGCCACTGCTCTCTTTAGTGGGCATTTCCACTTTGCCGTCACCCACATCCCCGCTGCAGCTCTCTGGCATGGCGTTACCTGTTCTGGGTAATTCATTGTTCAGAGCTCCGTTGCAAGTAGAATTTGTAATGCTTGTGTTTAGTTCCGTTTCAAAAAGTTTCTTGTTTGTTTGAGGTGAAAGTGTGCTCTCCTTCGAAGCATGTTCGCTTATCCCAGGTTTTTTAGATGATGAATGTCGGTAACTCCACCTTGCATTTTCAAACCATTTGCTAACCTGGAAAAGGCAAGTAATTGCAGTTTAACAAATAACCTATGAAATTAAAATTGTCTTTTTCTTATGAGAAAGTATGACCTGGTAAGAAGTGAGTCCCAGCTCTTGAGCCAAACTTTCTTTTGTAGCTCGGTCCAGATATTGATTTTCCTTGAAGGATTGATAAAGTCTCTGCAATACAAATTCTTATAAAATCAATAACAAATCACAAGAATTAAGTATCAGTGATGAAAAACCAAAAAAAAGATACACACATGTATGCACACATAATATACTAAATATTCAGCCAAAAAAAATAAGTAAAATACCAAATAATACAGGCGTCCAATAACACCTGAAAATTATCTAAACTATTTGTCTAGGTTACAAAAGCAAGGAACAATAACTCAGACCACTTACCTGAGTTACAGCTTCACCAAGTCTCCTGTTTGTTGACAATTCACGTCTTCTACCTGTAGAACCAGATTTAGGAGAACCTTGAAGTAATTTATTTGGTATATTATTTTCATCTGTTACTACAGAATTTTGGCGTGATCTTCTCCTAGGTACATATTCATTGTCTTCAAGGTCATTATTTGCAGCATCCGTAGTTGTCTGATTCTTAATGATTGAAGCGTTTTCATTTGGCGACACTGAAGAAACTTGTCCAGTAGTTCTCTTCCTTTTTCTTGGTGCGGCATAATCAGTCCAATCTTCATCATCACTTGAATCAGAAGGGAGATGTCCATACGTCTCCTTTACAAATTAGAGAAGATAATGAAAAATATAAACAAACTAAAAAAGTAGGGGTAAAAGGCGCTTAAATGTTTTTTTTTTTCCTTTTAAAAAAATGAAAACAAACCAGGAAACCAGTATTTGAAACACAGTAATGTGAACCTAAATCAATTCATCTAATATTTTAAACAAAATACTTGTAGGGGAAAAGTACTATCACATCAATAGTATGTCACCGGTTGACGTGCATAGGACAACCAGCAAAGATACAAATTTATAAGGATATATAGAGTGAAAAGTAGTATAAAATGATACTCACATCATGCAGCCTTTTGTAGTCCAACCTTTCCACATGTCTTTTTCCTGAAATAGGCGGAGAACCATCTTGGCCGGTACCTGACTCTAGTATATCTAAAAGCTCATCCTTTATAGATGACTTATTTCCACCACGTTTAGAACTTTGCATAACAGCATTTCCAAGAGACCTCGTGGGATCCAATGATGAAACTTCATCTTTTTCAGCAATTTGACCTTCATCAAGTGTAAAGGCCAGATCCTCAGAGTCGGAAGTAAAATCAGAACTTGAACTTTCCTGCTTGGCATTTTCATCAACATCTTGATCATCGGGATCAAAGTCATTGTCCTCTGAATCATCAGACGACAGACCAAAATACTGTTCATCTTTAGGCGGAGCCTCACCCTCAAGTTCATCACAAGCAGATGTGTACTCAGATTCATCAGAACTTGATTCATCTCCCTCAACCTTCTCAACAATTTCTGGACCATACGGGTCGTAATCATCATCCTCAGAATCATCAGACGGAAATTCAAGGTTGTGATCCTGATCTTTTCCTTCTCTTGCTGCTGCAGCAGCCTCTGGAAAAACCTTCTGCAGATGAATTAGGACTGTTAACAAACGGATTAAATAAAAATACTTTAGTAGGGTAAACGAAGAGGAGCTTTGCTCATTGACCTCCCAGCTGTCAGTTACTGAAAGATTTGTTCCATAAGAGTCATTAAGCAAATCAAAGCAATCAACTTTGCAGTCACATCCAGGGCATAACCAACCCTCGTCATCAGGGGGGACTGCAGACAACATAGATAAAATAAGGAACAAGAAATTCTAAGTAATAAGTAAGTTGGGTAGATGGATTTGAATATTACTGTCTTCGCTCAACAATGGTGGTTCCAAACAGAATTGGTGGAACCCACGATCACAAGCACCATCACAGAGTATAATATCATTATTTGCAGACATGTCTTTGGACCCACATTTTGCACAGAATATCTGCCCAACGTAATGCAAAATACAAATTATTCTTCAATAGAAACAAAACGACGATTATGGCTTCTCATCTCAAGCCAAATAAATGGAAGAGATGAAGAACTCTATTAAGAAGATAATTAGAATCATTGATCAGTACAAATGGCTTGTAACTAAAGAACTCTCTTACATCCTCACTGTCAATCTGCCCTTCAGAATCGAACAAAGATTTTGGAAATCTTCCTTCTGCACAAAGTGAGTCAAGCTGTTGAAATAAATCTCTTATTTTCAACTTACGCCGGAATATTTCAGATTTAGCACGTTGAAGCTCTTTCTCTGGTTTAAGTTTTTCAAGGCTGCAACGTTATAAACCATAAGATTCATAGTAAAAGAAAAATTTGAGAGAGCAGAAATAAATTGAAAAAGATAAAAACAAACTAAAAAAAAATGAAGAAAACAAGAATATTATTATCACATAAACGTTGTTCGAACTTAGAGCTCCGTAAAAGACAAATCCAATTCTGAAGAAAAATTTTAGGTAGGGAGAGAAGAAGAGAGAATAAGACTACTTGTTTTCACATAAACAGGAAGAAAAATTAGTCCACATATTTCACCAGCCAGTTAAGAATGAAACTGATCTTAAGTGAGTGCCCACTAAAACTAATAAAAGTGAATCATGGTTTACCTTCCTGTTGTAAGTACTCTATAAAGTGGAAAATGAGTTTATCCTCATGTAAGCATATATAAGTGCTAATGAAATATCCTGACCATTCAACAACTACTAAAGTAAATGCGTAACAGAGTTCTGACATTCATGAAGCAAGTATGAGGTAGAAAATACGCACCTGGTTCCTTTCCATCCTTCACTAGAATACGCATCGATCAAGTTTTGCTCATAGTGTATTCGGTTGAAAAAATATTTTAGGCGTTTTCTTATTCTCGAAAACTCGTCGGCTATGACTCTCGTTCCTCTTCTCTTTTTTCTTTCCTTCATTCTCTTCTCCACCCCATTGCCAATATTACTCAAAGTATTACTCAATTCATGAGATTTAAGTTTCTCTTGGGTCCTTGAGCGTAAAACTCTATCACTGTGTACCAAAGATCTCAACATATATTGTTTCTTTCTTGATTTTGACGTCTGTTTATCCTTACGTCCCAATTGGGAGGGTTTATTTACTAAACTTTTAGAGGAAGTTTCAAGTTGCTCAAGACTAGAACTTTTGGACACATCTTCAGATGGTTGTTCTACTTGTTTATCAATATAGCTATCACTTCCATCTCCAACTGGAGGTTCCAAATGTTCGCTAACAATACCATTAGATGCTGCAATCCTAGTTTCAACCAGAACATTTTGAACAAGTTCAGTACCAAGGTGGTCTTCTTGTTTAGGTGTCTCACCAAGTAGACATCCACAATCAAAGTCCTTGATCTGCCCCAAAGTACTTTGTTGAGGACATGAACTGTTTTCTGTCTGACAATGTCTGACCACATCTTCAGAAGGCACAGCCAAATTTCCACCAGAAATCAAGCTCCTCTTTTCAGAAACGATTTCCAATTTTTGAGTAAAAACAAAGCTGGATACTGTGATGTCAGTTTTCCTGATTTCATTTTGTAAGTTGGAGTCTACATCATTCTTTGTCCCCGCTTGTTCAGCACATAGATTACCAGAACCACATCCATGTTTCACTTCCGCGGCTGCTTCCTTTGGGAAAGAAATTTTTTCAGTCTGACCATTCGCGCCAGCGTCTTTCTGAGGCAGTTCCAATTCCTTGCTATTGCAAAGAGAATCATTGGTCAAATTTCGAGGTGATGATTCTGGGTGTTTATTAGTAGAACACATGCCTACTGCTGCAATGGGTTCTAGTGGCTCATTTTGTTGTCCTGGTGCTTCAGGAAGAGAATTTTTGGCCACACTATCAGAAACTGGTTGTAGCTGTTCACAAAAAACGTGGGTTGCAGCTATGCTGCTTTCCTGTCGTAAATTTTCTACAGTTTGAGCTTCACTAATATGTATATGTTCTGATGGTTCAGTTTCTTTCACCTGTTCTAACATATTTTGTTCAGGATGTGTGCATTTTGCGGTTTGACCGTTCACTTGTTCCGTAGGAATATCTATATGTGTAGCATCAGCCATATTCAAATAAAAGGCTAGATTCTTAACAAGTACAGGAACTTCTACTCCAATATTCTTTAGGTCCAAGAAAACAGACCAAAAGGTCAATCCCAACGCAAAGGGTTGTAACGTTATTTCGGAATTAGTGTGGGGGATAGATCACACACATCAACAGACTTCAGTGGTTCAATGTATTTACAGCAATAAATTTTCAGCCACGTAATGAATTGTGTATTAATAACTTCCTCCCAAAATTGAGACTCCAAAGATCAATAAATCCATCATAACTACTAAAGAAGCTATTATATTATGTGTGACTGCAAACCTGCAAGACGTGAAAAGATCATAAAACCTAATTTCTAAGAAAGAATAAAAGGCAGAACACAAAAGACAGCACCACAATCAAAATTAGCTGATATATCTTGTGTAAATTCTCAATGTGAACACAAAACAATGAAGTGAAAGCTACATTATGTTGAGTTCAAGCAAATTCTTTGATGCAAAAGTAGAATTGGACTAAATATCATTATTTGTAAATCTAGGGGAAAAAAACCTTCTAAACAACAAAAAAACAATCACCCCACATTCAATTTTAGTCAAAAGAACTACGAACTTAAGCAAAATTTACCAGCATGCTTAAATGGGAGATCACTTAGATTTGCATCTCAAGAAACCCTGAGAAATTCCAATATAATGGAGATTTACTATGAATATCTAGGAATCCTAAACAAAACAGAAATGGACATATCAAATCACATAATCTTAAAAACTAAAAAACTATACCGACCTCGGGAATAATTCATAACCCAGATTGCTAACTAATATGTTTTTATCAAATGAATTTAGAACCAACTATCAGGCATCACCCAACCAAGCATAAGGAAGTAAGAGGAAAAGGTTGTTGTAACTCCAAGAAGTGTGCATACGTGGCAAAGATGGAGCAAGTATGCCACTCAACTCAAGGATAAAGTAAACTAAGAGATGTCCTTAGCCCAAGTTACATTCAGCACGTGCAAAAATAATAGGGTACATTGGAGATAATAAATTGCTAAAGTACAATGATGTCTATATAAATGTATTTTTATCACATATTAAGAAAATCGCACGTCATAATAACAAAAACCATGGAATTAATCCAAGGAGGAACATGAACTCGAGTACAATGTGGTACAAAAAGTTTAAGAAAGCTCATCATCGTCCTAACTCAAGATAACCCAATTCATATTTTATGCATTTTAAAGCCAAATAAACGATTATTCCAAGCATTCACAAAACCCAATTCCAGCAAAGAAACATGTAAATAAGATTGAAAAAGAAGAAAGGTATATATATGTAACTCAATCCAATTACAATTTGGCCGAAGTTAACAGACACCCAACAAAATATATATATATATGACAGTATAAGCAACCCAAAAAAAACAAGTAATAACAGAGAAAAAAAAACGGACCTAGAAGCTCAGCTAAGCCTAGGTTAGGAGAAAAATAACAGCAGAAATTGAAAAAAATAAAAAATACAGTAAGTTTCTTTCCTTTTCTTGTTACTCTTTCTCAGGAACCAAACGGCAGCCAAAATTTATTATTAAAAAAAAAGGAATACTATGCAAAGTTACCTCAGGTAGCTCGTGAATCTTAGTAGTTTCCGTCACTGATTCCGAACACAGCTTGGGAAGAGAGAGAGAGAGAGAGAGATGAAAAGATGAAGGAGAAGAAGAAAATGGATCTGAGTCTTGCGAGTGTTCGCGATAGTTCTATTCCCACCGCCGAGACTTGCTGAGAAGAAAAAGAAGGAAAAAAGAAGCGGTTCCTAGTTTCGCAAGGTCCGCCAAATCTGGGCCACCGTTGCGCTCTCTGCGACTATTAGGGCTCCAGGCTTCGGATTCTGTGCGCTATTTTCAGCTCACGCCGTTAGGTTCTTTTAGCGTGCCGTTCGGTAGTTTTGGGCCGGACCTTCACCTTAAGCCCACCCACATTTCGTATCCCGAGCCAGGTGACAATTTGATAAGGGAAAAGGAATACCTTTAAAGGGAGGAGGGAAATATTTCTTAGGTGTATAGTAACTTATAACATATTTTTTTTAAAAAATAGGTAGATTTTAGCATAATAATTTGATAATTTAAGTTTTAAACATTATGAAGCTCAAAAATATCCCTAAACTTCATTTTTACTTCTCTATCATTCCCCCTCTAGTCATGAGCAGCAGGCTCCGATGACCCGCGGCAGGTAAATACTGTAATTTATCAGTAAATACCATTTTTATTGATAAATTCTGTATTTATCATAAAATATTATATTTACTAAAAAAATATTTTCAACATCAGCGCCGGTGACTGATGACCGACACTGGCGACTAGTAAATAAGTCTTAGTACCGGCGATTGATAAATACTGTATTTACCTAAAAATATCATATTTACTCAGAATTTGTTTCGGTGCCACGACCGGCGACCAGTGACTAGTAAATATGGTAAATACCAGATTACCAAAATTTATTAGAAAATACTATATTTACTTGGAATTTTAAATTAGGGACATATCTTGAATAGGAAGAATATATATATATATATATATACATTTTTTTAGTTTTCATTTGCAAAATATCATTTTAATTGTATAATAATAAAAGAAGAAATTATCTATTAAAAAAAAAGAAAAATTATTTTTTTATCTTTCATCTTTCACAATCTTTCTTTTTCATGTTGTCGCGGCCTTTCACATACAATGCTACCGCCTATTCTCTTATTGTGAGGGTCGCAACAATAAGATCCATCATGTTCTGATCACAATAGTAATGTTTACTTCTGACATGATGTCCCTATTGTTTTTGACATCGTTGCCACAATCTTTATTGTCGCCGTCGCAGACTGATTGGAGTTTGAATTTCTATTGATTTGTGTCGATTTTTTTTTTTTTTTTTTGTGATCTAAATTTTTGGTTTAAAAGGTTTTGTTAGTTTGTTAATCAAATTAAACAGCTAGCTCAAAGTCAGCTTATGAATTGAAAGCTACTACTCATATTGAGTCCAAGATGAAAAAATGGAAATAATAATAATAATATGGTATTGTATTTGATATGGTGAACAATAATGGTTTTGATGGGACGACGTGTTAAAATGCAATCAGATTGACAGTGTGAAGTGTGTCAAGCATATGTATAGATTTGAGAAGTGTACTTGTTTTACTATAAAGTTACCATACATTTGTACGCATATTTATTCATGTTGATAATTATTATGGCGATTCGTTAAAAAGCCACAAAAAACAAGAAACAAAACAAAAACAAAACACAAAAGCTGTGTTTGAAGTTATTTTTATTTTTCACGTTTTTTTAAAAATAAAAAATAAAAACAGAAGAAGAAACGGCGTTTGGTATAATTAAAGATAAAAAAACAGAAATGAAAACAATTTTTTAGTTTAGTGTAAAATATGACAGAAATGAAAAACAACTTTTAGTCATTTTTTATTTTTTGTTTCTATTTTTTCCTCTCTCGAGTAGAGAAAGAGAGAGAGACATTAATGGATTTTTTATACTGAAAATAATCTCCTGATAAAACTACCAAACGCATTTTCAAAAATAAATTTCTATTTGAAATTGAAAATATTTTCATTTCTATTTTCATACAAAAAATAAAAATATTTTGAAACGAGTTTCAAACACACCCAAAAATTAGATGTGTAATAATGAGAATGCTAATGAGAATGACTTTGGGATGCAACAAGAGTCAACTTACCCTTCAATGTTTTTGAACCAAACTTTTCCTGCTAACGTTTCTAGATTTACTAGAGAGAGATAGAGACAGAGATAGAGAGAGAGTTATAAGATCATCCCAAGATAAGTCTACACGTTTAGAAAAACTAGCAAAATTATTTAACAAAATTATTATTTCACATTAAGAGAAGAGACACATATGTTAGTTCAAATTATTAAAACAGAAAATTATGGTGCGCAATGTGAATTTGTGTGGGGTAAGATAAGTTGTCCGTTGAGCAACTATGGAATGCCAGTGTCATAAAATCTACAAATAAGGCACTCCATAAGGAGTTTGTTATGACCTTTTTTTTTTTTTTTTAGAATGTCATCACTTTTAAGTGGGGTTTAAGGTGACTCAAACTCTCAATTTATAATTAGGATGAAGAGACTTACAACTAATTGAGTTATCCTCACTCGTTGTTTTGACCCTTCTTGAGTTAAGGACTTCTAATTTGCTTAAGCATAAATTGTGGGTTAATACATACATATTTGTAGGTACTTTTTGGACTACTTAAAATCATTTGGACCCATTAAAAAAAAAGACAGAAAGAAAGAAGAGAGAGACAATTACATAATTTACTCTTAAGAGTGTGTGAGTCTCGATTTTTATCTTTTATTTTTTATTAATACCATTTTTTTAGTATAATTATTTAATTAAAAAGCTATTAATTAAGAGTAAAATGTAAAAATCCTGATTAATGTATTTTTTTTATTTTTTTGAAGAAAAGGTGCAATTTTATTAACTCAAATCAGACTTAACAAAAGGAGATATATATATATATATATATATATATATATATATATATATATATATATTTATCTAGGGATAGCATCTGAAGCCACCAAATCAACGTTACAACGCATAGTATGTGCAGCTAAAATATGAGCAACCATGTTGCCTTCCCTAGAGACATGAGAACAACTCCAAAATATTGTTGAATATGAATTTATATTAATAAGAGTATTTATAAAATATGGATTAGAAGTTAAAATAGGTTATTAATATTTGAATAATTTTATCGTTATTCTTATATACTTCAATTGGCACATACAAAAAAGTTTAGCAAGCAACGATGTTAAAAAACAAAATTTAAGAATGCAAGTGGCTAATATTGTCACAACTATATTTATTAAGATATTTCAAGAGTTTAGAACTCGTGTAGTGTTTTTAAATATTTTTGTTTTTAGTATGAAAAAAAATGAGAATTCTTTTAGAACGGTACTAAATCGTTTCTAAAAATATGTTTGTTACTAGAGAACTTGTTTTAAGTATAAAAAAAAAAAAGATATGAAATTAAATTTTGTTTCGAAAAAGAATATGTACAGCATAGAGGCGCAAAAAATGAAAACCAAAAAGTAATAACAACTTTATAGCGATTTTCTTTTTACTTCACAAAAAATGAAACCGCTTCTAAACCATATTAACTTTTTTTTTAAAAAAAAGGAAAAATACATATTAATAATACAATATTCCGTTTCTAAAATCAATTTTCGAGAAAACAAAAAATACTTTTTGAAAAATAGAACGGAATGGAAAATTTTGTGTGTTTCACAGTTGAGAAAAAATTCACATTTTTTTCTTGAGAAAAGGATTGACGATTTTTTTTTTTTTTTTGAGTCTATTACAATAGAACATGATATTTTGTTCTATCGGTGAGAATTGTATGCTTACAGTTAGATTAATTTTTTAACGGTTAGATATGTTATAAGAATAATTTTAGTAGCGTACAATAAATTTTTAATACAGATTTGTACAAATTTAACTGGTAAAAAATTAATTTAATAATTAAAAATAATTATTCTCACTAATAGAGTAAAATAACATATTTCATAGTAAAGATTCTTTTTATTTTTTTCTTCTTCTTTTTGCTAAACGATTGTGTACAAGGCAGTAAAGAGTCTAAAAAGTAACAAAAATATCTTATTCTTATCTAAAGATATTTTTCTTTTATCTGAAGATATATTTGATAAGGAAATTTCAGAGAAACAGCCAAAAGCAGAAAATCACACTTATGCGAGCAATAAACTTCATTATTGACTTTCTAGAAAAACAAAAAAAACAAAAAAAAACAAAAAAAAACTGCATTATTGACTTTCTTGCGGGGGAAACAAAAAAAAAAAAAAAAAAAAAAAAGGCATTATTGACTCATCCACCGTTGTTACCTTTGGACTGGAGGAAGAAATTGACTATAGAAAGAAAGAATAATTATAATTGACTGTCTGAAAAAGGAAAGAAAAAATAAAGGAAAAAAGAAAAACAAATATGTCGTATTTAATAGAGTGATAGAAGAATACCGTACTTAATAGAATTTAACACAAATTACACGGTTGCCCATTAAATTATAAGTTTTATTGTAAAAGGCCCTTCCAATTTTAATTTTAGCTTTTTTTTTCTTTCTTGAACTTTAGTAGTTCTTTCAAATTTTCTCATATGCTAAATTTTTAATAAAAAAAATATCATGTAAAATACAAAAGTTAACAAAAAATCATGATTTTTAACATAAATAACAAGTATTACATAAATAATGAGTGTAATTTGAATAATTTAATAAACAATTACTCTGTTAACTCCTCCTCATACAGTCATATGAAATTATAATTATGTAGTAGGAATTATCATTTTTTTAACTATAACTAACTCTCTCCTTAATTTACTTGACCTGGGGACTTTTGAGGTTTCATAAATCGCGGCCAACAGTAACAACATAATTAAAAATAATAATAATAAAAGGGTAAATTTTAATAGAGTTACTTAAATTTAAGAGGAAAAGAAGCTAAAACTGAGGATGTTTGGTTCATGAATTCAGAATCATAATTCAGAACCATTTTCAGTTTACGTGTGTTTTTTGTGAGAGAAAATACTGTAGCGAATTACGAACCATGATCCAAACCATAACACATATCCTCACTCCAAACGTAGACTAAAGTTCAAAAGATATTTTATGACGAGGCCTATAATTTAAAAAGCAACGGTGTAGTT